GGAGCTGTCGTGTTATGGAGGTCGGGAGTCCCTTCGGGAGAACCCGCTGCCAGCGCCCAAAGCGCGGCAAAAGTCACGAAGTGTTTCATGGCGAAAAGGAGCACCGCCGGGGCTAGCTGCTCACTTGACATCAGGCGGAGGGCCTTCACAATTAGTCAGCATGACTCCCTTCTGTACACGAACACCGTGACTCCTCAACACGACACTCAAACAAAGCTAAAACACCGACCTAGGGTTCTCTAAGGCTCAGCTGTCTCCCCGACGCCCACGGCACATCTGACTCTCGGATCCACGTAGCTTCCAACTCTCTCCATCTTCTGCGATCATGTGCATGTTCACGCCATGGCCCCCCACACACACCGTCCATGAGCTTTTCAAGGTTGGTAATTCTAGGGTCGTGCTGTTTTTTCCGAAGTCGCTGGGAATAGGGGCGTTGCTGTTCCAAGCGCCACCACGAGAGAGTCCGGTAGTCCTCAACAAGGCTACTAGCAACCGGACCCGGGTGCAGCATCCCTCTGACCCGATGCCCAGCGTACCGCCAATACCTTTGGGTCCAAGTAGTAGACCATCTCTGGCACCCCGAGGAGTGAAGCACAGACCTGGCGCTACGAAAAGCCCGCTTCCTGTACTCTTCCCAACTCTCCTCAGACCTCTTCCCCAACCTCAGCATCCACACAAGGATCTGCAATTGCACGGTATTGAGCATGCTCATCGCGGCCTTGTCCGGGCCGAAACACCCAATACACCACAACGCGGTAGCGCTAATCACCCTGTCCATCGTCCGGATTCTTGCTCTGGTGTTCCCCTTGGTCCGGAGTATGTGTTTCACCTCCCAAAATTTTTCCCTGGCCCTTGAAGCGAGCGGCGAAACTAATTCGTAGATGGTCTGCCCCACCCTGAGTTTGATGCCCATGACGTCTAGGCACTCCGACGCCGTTAAGGTCTCACCAGCGACTTCCATGAGGTGGGGTCCCGGACAAGTAGGGCTGCAATACAGTTGGCATTTGGACAAATTCAACCTGAGACCGTACCGTCGCAATACTTGCCCCAGCTGGGTGACCCTGTCCCTTAGCAGGGTTTTAGGGTGTAGGGTTAAGGGTTTAGGGTTTGGGGCTTGGGGCTCAGAGCCGTTGAGGGTTGAGGGGGTTTAGGGCCGTTCAGGGCCGTTTAGGGTTTAGGGCTGAGGGCCGTTTAGGGGGTTTTGGGCGTTTTACCGGGAATAGGCTGGTCCATCGAAGGGTCTGCTACAAGGATACTACAGGGGTTACTATTACTATAAGAAGGGCTATTGCGAACTGCACATTAAGTTGTAAGAGGTCGGAGAAGCCTGAAACTGAACTGCAGCAAAGTTTACAGTAAAGTACAGTGACAGAAACAAGCCCCCATAAGTTGCGGGGTCGGCGTGCGAAAGTACGAGCAGCTCGGTGTGGCAATCACAGCCGTTGAAATTGACAAATGACGACAACAATAACAACAAGAGTTATACCCGGGGTTCCCAGACGGGTATGCGCTCTCACAATCGCACGCGCTAGATGAGGTTCATGGTTCGCAGTCACTCTGCCAATCAATCACCAGCCGAGATGCACTTCATACACGCATACATGCGTGCATGCATACATGGATATGTGCCGACATGCATACATACATGCATACATACATGCATACACACATGCATACACACGTAAACATGTGCAGACAGACAGACAGACAGACAGACAGACAGACAGACAGACAGACAGACAGACAGACAGACAGACAGACAGACAGACAGACAGACAGACAGACAGACAGACAAACAGACATCATACGTACGTACATACACACATGCATACATGCATCGTCGTCGTCTACATTTGTACAGCCTCCTCGACGTTGGTGATCAAGTTCTCACTGGCACATACGCTCCACGAGAATTTCAGAAGCCAAGGATTCCAAAAACTGAGCAATGACACACCTTAACCCCAGCCGTAACCCCAAACCCTTAGACCCCTAACCTCCAGCCCTAAAACCGACAAGTAATCGTTATTACACGCGCCTTCAGCGACTTCGTCGTCCGAGCCCTTGACGGACTGCATGGCCCTGAGAATGGTAATTAGCCGAAATAGTTGTTTTTTGGAGGGAGATTTTTTGGCTCCTGCATCGCAAGCCACAGCAAGCACGGCAGGTCTCATTCGGGCAATTTAGGGTTTTGGGTTTGCGTTTAAGCAGTTCAGGACGTTTCTGGCAGCACTGGCAAGCTGCACTCCAGGCCTGTGCAGTACGCAAATGGGCAAGACTAAACGAAACGAAGGAGCACGTGACGGGCAGTTTATAGGATTCAGGGCTATAAGGGTCTAGAGCACACAGTTTAGGGCAGTTTAGGGTTTGGTGCTATCATAGTTCGCCAAGCCCTAAACTGCCCTAAACTCTGTGCTCTAAACCCTTAGGGTTAAGGGTCTGTACTTCGAAATACTGGCCTGAACCTTGCCGCAAATCTGCTCCCACCCCCGCCTGAAATACAGGTCCTAAACATGGAACGGAAGGCGCCGCAGCTCATATCGAATGCTCGTAATGAACAGCGAGGCAGGAACTAGCTGACAGCAGGACTTATTGGATGCCTGAGCCCCGAGGCTCAAACTGCATCACAGAAAACCAGCCGCCTGAATAGCAACGATGCATCAGACGTCACCCCCCAAAGATTAAGGAGAATTCAGCTCCACATGCAGGCCCGCCCGCTTCAATTCCTGGTGATGCAGCCACTCTCTGACAGGACTGGCGCCTTTTCACAGTAACTCCGCATGAGTTGAGGGCTACAATACTTAGAATCGGACTCAGTGCGGTACAGTAGGGAACTGTGTTAGGGATACTGTCGCCAGTTTTTCCGGGACCCCTGCAAAACCCTATGAACGTCCGTATTTACGTATATTCCGGCCCATAGTTTGGGGCCGCCCCAATAGAATCTGGGCCCACCGGCTGGTCCACCTGGAAGAAGCTTGGTGCACTGTCCGAGTTGTCTGGACCTGCTCGCCGTCTTACGGCACTAGAGTCCCTAACCCTAAACCCCATACGATCCTGGGATTGGGGACTCGCGCTATGTATTCAGCGTGTAGGGTTGTAGTATAGAGATTCTGGGGAGCCTTGTGCGCACTATCGTTTAGGATTTCCGGTGCCCTTCCAAAGGCCAGGGTTGCGCCTAGCGGACAGTAGGACGCACGGGTTTGCAGGACTTGCACCACCCAGTAACTAGGAAGTGGATCCTCTTCGGCCCATGACAGACGTCATGGAAGCAAAGTATCAGCTATGGGCAAACCTGATAGTGACTTATTCAAGCCTTGATAAGAACCTTCATAAAGCCCTCTGAAAGCTGGTAAAACCATATGACACCCTATCCTAACACCACGTGAAGTCTAAAGCCGCTCGGGAACAAGTAAAACAACGCAGATTTTACTGAAACTCCTGGGCGTGCCTTCACCCTGTGGCCAGGCCTGGCTGACAAAAAAGCAGCTTTGATTAGGGTTTAGGGTTTAGGGTTTAGGCTTTAAGGCTTTAAGGCTTTAAGGCTTTAGGTGTGTCGGGATTGTGGATTTTCAGGGTTGTCAGGATAGTTAGGGTGTAAGGATTTAGGTGATCTAGGGGCTGAAGCGCGTTAGGGTGCTGAAGGCTTTCAGGCTCCATCCGAGGGCTTCTGGCTTTAAGTGCTAAGAGCCTTGGGGGTGTTGGAGCTGAGGATGCTAGGGGTTCGAAGTTCAGCTGGTCGCAGGTGGCAGTAGGTGGCGGTAGGTAGTGGTAGGTGGTGGTAGGTGGTAGTAGGTGGGAATAGGTCCTGAAGGTCGGTGGGAGAAGGTAGTAGTCGCTTACTCGTAGATAGTCGTGGTAGTAGCAGTCGTCGTCCTCCTCCTCGTCCTCGTGGTGGTGGTGGTGATAACAGGAATTACGGTACTGATGCCACTCGCACGTAGTGGCAGTAGCAGCAACGACAACCGCAAGAGCAGACCGCATGAGAATGACAAATGCACGACAAAACTGGAAGAAGAGATATAATAGCGAGGCAAAACGGTTTCCGCAATCAAACCGGTCGAAAAAGCCGTCAAGAGTGCAGGCAAACCGAAACTACCACAAAGCGGCAGAATGAGCGCTAAACCCCGACGTCTGTCCAGATCTGTACTCCGACCTGAAACAGACATTTGGCTCAAGTTTCCATAGTCGGGACATCGAAAAAGTATCCTAAACCCTAACGCTTACAAGTATCCTAAACCCTAGGTCTTATCACCTTAATTAAATTCAACCAAGCTCCCTGACAAAACCCCGTGCTGGCCTTCTCTGAGGCTTTCGGCCCGCATTCGTCGTCCTTGCCTGGGCAGTCGAGGACTCATTGAGACAGGGATTAATCCAAATCGTGATCATAAACAACAAGACCAACTCTGAAACAAATATTGCATTGATAGCCATACGAACAATCCTCGTAATCGTAGCCATAATCATTATATTGGCAATAGGAATAGTACAGGGTTTCCGGTTGTGGGCTTGGGCTTTCCGCTCTCAGAAATCGGACACTGGCAGATTAGGCACGGAAGAAACTGAGATGGTGTCATAGGGCCGTCAGCCATCAAGTTAAACAACACAGGGAAGCTACCTAGACCCAATCCAGACATCAGGCTTTGGGGTGTGGGTTAAGGGCACAATTCTTTGTGGTACTTGGGTTCGTACTCGGGTTCGGGACGTCTGATGGTTCGCTTCATCTTCATAGGGGCCTTGGAAGACTGCGAAGACGTCGAAGGCGGTATGACCCGTCCCTGCCGTCCGTCCCGAAAGCACTCCGGCATCCCAACTTGAACCTAAGAAAAGCCACATCCCGAAAGAGAAGTAGCCCCTCGTGAAATCTGGCGTCTCGAGACATGTTGAAACATCCTTCACGATCCTGTTCAAAACCACGTTGCCATCAAACACCAGTTACGTTTAGACCTCAATCGAAGAAGTTGAAACCCAATCGCAACCACAAAGGATAGACGACCTGCCTCCACCACTCTCAGGATCCCTAAAACCTAAGCCCTAAACCCAAACCTTAAACCCAAACCCTACATTTAAGCCTCAAAACCCGAAACTCTACCCCTGAAGCGCGAAACGGGCGAGAGAGCTCATTGCAATCCTTCTGAACCGTTCCCAGAATCCTGCAGCCTTCTTGTGCGATCGCAACCCTACACTCTCAAATCGAAACCCCAAGCCCTAAGCCCCGAACCCTCCACCTTAAATTGATGCTCCTTCAACCCCACTTAGACCCTAAACCCTACACCCTACACCTTAAACCCTGGACCCTCAACCCTGATCCCTTAATGTAGGGGCCTTGAACATTAGAATAGGGTTTTGGGGTATACTATACTGTAACTATACTAAGGAACCCCCAAAATAGTATAGGCAGGTAAGTATTTAGGCCCCTCTGTCACTGAGGCCGCACACATTTGTGGCCGAAGCTTTGAAGCTTCCGCGAGGTCAGGAGAATCCCAGTCCTTCCCTGATTTGAATTCTTGGGGCTTCGGGTTGAATTTTTCGGGCTTCAGGTGTGGGGTTTAGGGATTTACCTATAGTCCCCATACCAATTTTACATAAAGGATCCTACAAGGTAATCCCAAAAAGGAACCACCATGGAGACCATAGGTATGGGTTCGGGTTAAAGGTTTAGGAGCTTAGGGTTTCAGGCCTCTGGCCCCAAGCATCCCTTCTTCTGCGGTGTAGAGAAACTCGGAAACAAGCCCCAAACGGAACCTCTAAAGGGAAACTACTGAAGGAACCCAGAAGCCCTAAAACTGAAAAAGGCAAGAATAAGACTTCGGGGCTCTCTGTGTGCATGCGTCCGGAAGTTCTCGGGATAGATTTAGGTCTTTAGGGTTCCGGGCTTTAGGGCTTCAGGCTTTTTATGGGAGATTCTGACCTCAGAGCCCAAAGTCTAAAGGGAAACCCGCGCTCTATATAGTAACCTTTATAGTGAGCTTCAACGAAGCTTTAATAGAAACCTTTAAAGCAACCCTCATAGCAACCTATATGGGTAGTTCTCTAGATTAGGGTCCTCGGGTCCTTTTTATAAGGGTGCCGTACTACTTCTGGGACCTAAAAAGGGACACTTCTTTAGAGAAGTACCCATAGCTCTCCCGATCTCCTCGGTGGCCTTGTCATCCGGTGCCAATTGTTGTCCCACCTGCCACAAACGGAAAGGGAGTTGGCACCCTAAGCCCTTAGCCCCTTTTTTCACATCTGGACTTGATGAATGCCAGCACCCCACTGACTGAGCGCAGGACCAAGGACTCTGCCCCTAAACCCATACGGAACCCTAAACCCTGAACCCTAAACCCTCAAGAGTCTTGGGTGCATGTCCGTGCTGAGGGTTCGGAGTGCTTTCGAAGCCCGGGGATCCAAAACAGCTCGACGCCTCAACGAAAGCCTGACCCTCTGAACGAAGAGCTCCTCAGATCAAGCCCTCATAAGCTTCATAATATAGGAACCTGATTAAGCAACCCTGGGCCTTTATTTGGCTTCTTAATATGAGCCCTAATATATTGAGGTTGCAGGGCGCGGGCTTCTGAATCAGGTTCCTACATTAAGCCATGGTCCCCAAACCCAAAAGAGTCGGATCAAGGCGCCACGGGTGAGCTCCTCGGGTTTAGACCTTGCTTTCGGCTGTAGGTCTATCTGACCATCTAGTACGGATGCCCAGAGACTCCAATACTCCTTAATAGACTTTAAACCTTACTAGGGATCCTACTATCATTTAAGGTATATTCCTGAAGTAAGGGGTATTGGAGTCTCTGGGTGGTCACGGGCCTTTTCCCGCTTGTCTAGCTGACGGAGTTGCGCGGCGGGTATGGTGTTACGGTACCACGCCCAGAAGCACCACAAGTCTGGCTTGAACCCAGGGAGCCGTACATCACAGTTTCTCGTCATTGTGCCGCACTCTATTCACATCGAGTTCCACTTTCTGTTTCTGCTTTTTCTATCTTTTTAAGAAAACCTAAACCCTGGACCGCTGTGTTTCTACGACTACGACTCCTCCTCTTCCTGCAGCCGCCGTGGCTGCTGCTGGGACTACTGCCTCTTTTTCCATCAGCAGCAGCAGTGCCACCACCGCCACTTTGACCCCTACGCCCACCGCACGCTCTGCGGTGACATAAAATGTTAAACGCCCCTCAAGTTTTCCCACCCTCCCAAAGAGAAAGGAAGGCTGGTACAGATTTGTGTCAGGCTGGCCTCTAGGTGAATTCGGCCACGAGGTTGTGCGTGCCAAGGCCTGGGGACGTGGGTCTGGGGCGCTTGAAGTCGGGTTTTAGACCTTACAAGGTCTTGAAGGCGTTTACGGTTTAGGGTTTTTTCGGATTTCTAGGGCTGAACTGGCGGTTCTCCTTCGGCGGTTGCAGATGAAGTGAAAAAAGTATTGAGGCTTCTATAATACTCTCTCCCTCCAAGGCCCGGGCATTGCCATTGAAGGCGCCATGCCTTTGGAAGCTTTGTTTCGGGCTTTCGGCTTTGCCACTGGCAAGGTTCAGGGTATGAGGGTTTGGGGTTTAGGGCTTCTGCTTCTAAGGTTCAGGCTTGAGGGCTTTAGGGCTCTGCTGAGGGTTGTTTTGAGGTTTTGGGTCTATGCATTTCGACTCGCACACTCGCGGCGTCGCGCATGCCAGGCACGGATTCCAGGCGACAAGTCCGAAACTACTAAAATCACATACCACCCAATACAAAAGCAGTGTTCGCACACCAGCTGGCAAATACCTGACAAGGAGTGCTGTTCAAGTGCATAAAAAAAAAACCACCAAGCTATGCGGTCCCAGGTGTGCTCTGCACGCTTCTCCCCGACCATGAAACCCTTGCTTGTGCACAAACCCGCACAAGAAAAAACGCAGCTCTGCTTCAGGGCCTGACTTGAGCATGTAGGGTTCTGAAGATTAGGTCCTGTCTCTTTTGTTTTGGGGGGGGGGTCCCGATATTGTTGCATCCAAGTACTTCGGGTCAACACAACTTCGGCTTGGGAAGCGGTCGACAGCCTGACTGGTACAAGTTCCTAATCAAGACGCCTACGTACTACCCCGACCTCGAACCAACCTGAAATGAAAAATCCAACCCTACCCGATCTGCAGTTTGAGTCGACTGCCTCACTGAAACACTCACCATCATCTGAAAGCTAACTCTGCAAACCTTCTTGTGGGGGATCCGTACATTCACGATCCTACTCTTTGGGTTCCCTGACATTCTAAAACGTTCAATTCAAGCCTTGCAAGGATGCGGCCTAGACTAACAATTCTGATGGCACGGTTGGCAATGATCCAACGATGTGAGGCCCCTCTTGTCCGAAATGGGAGTTTTTGAAGATTAGGGTACCTTATTTTGAGGTCCTTATAATAAGGATCCTGCTATTTAGGGTCCTATGTCAGGCCCCTATTTTCCAAAACCCCCAAATACCCTCTCAGACCTGACTATAACCCCACCTAGATGCAAGCAGGAGCTCAGGTATCGGCATGTAGTAGTAGAGAGTATGAAGAGTAGTCGGTGCATCGATATCGGAAGTGATGCCTGGCAGCTCCATTCTTGGTGCACTTGCAGCTTTCAGGGTTTCGGGCTTCGGGGAGCTTGGGGGCTCGCGCCTTATGTTTAAGGCTGGCGACTTTGCAGTTGTAGGGTTTCGGGTTCACGGCTGGGCTTAAGGGTTTAGAGTTTACAGTTGAGGGTCGCCACGAAAAAGTTGAGGGCTGCAGGAAACGATCAGGGGCACCATCCGCCCGAGAGCCGGTTGCGGATGTTCCCAGCACCGTCTAGGGCCTTAAATGAGTAGAACGAAAGAGATCGCGTGGCAACAAATCGCTTCCAACGTCTACCACTATCCCCACGACTCCTGCAACATCATGCTCTATGTGCTGCAACACCACGATCGAAATCATTCCATGTTCCTGCGGCTGCTTGATGCTGAGACTTGCAGTCTGCATATTTCTTCATCTCTCTGTCGTTGTACAACTGCTTCTGGTGCGGCACAACCGATACCAGTACCGCTTCCAGCACCACTACCACCAACACCCTGCCACCGCCAATACAATGACTCCTCCTCGTCCTCGTCCTCCTCCTCCTCCTCTGCCTCCTCCGCCTCCCACTCCTACTGTCCTACTCCTGCTACCTTCGCCACGTCGTCCGCCACCGCCACCACCCACGACTGCCCCAACTGTCCCTTCGACCAAAGCTTCCCAGCTTCGCCTGCGCAAAGGAGGCCGGCGTGGCCATCATGGCCACCTTAGCTGGGGCCTCCTCAATTCCGGAGTTTTGTATGGATCTGACTGTGAATCTTACTACATGTGTTAAATTCGGAAGCATGTTTAGGGTGGCTTCTTGCCGGTTTTTGAGGGTTGTTGAGGCTTGTCGATGCTCTTTAGGACCCAGGCGCAAACTGTACATAGAGCTCCGGGTGGCGGTGGGGTTGGGGCGAATATTATAAGAAGGAACGCTGAGGAAACATATTGGCATTTGTTTAAGCCTCTACAGCATGGGATATCCTACCCGAGTATCCCGAAACCCTACAGCTCAGGATTATCTTGGACTCTCGATGTAGACAGCTAGAGAGCTCTTCTTAACTGTACCCCATAAGACCCCCTATTAATCCAGCTATCCTGCAACCCTTGTGTTGCAGAAACCCTAAACCCCTAAGCTCCCAAACCCTAAACCCCTAAACTCCCAAAGCCTTTTTGCCGCAGGCTTGCAAGCAAGAACGCAGGGTAGTAACTCCCAAACCCTAAACCATAAACCCCTAAACCCCTAAACTCCCAAACCCGAAACTCCCTTTGCAACTGGCCTGCAGCGACTCTGCACGGATGAATCACTCGGCCACACCCTTAAACCATAAACTCTAAAAACCCTAAACCCTAAAACCCTAAACTCTAAAAACCCTACACAATAAAGCCCTGAACCCTAAAAACCCTAAATCCTCACCCCCTAAACCCTAAAAACCACAAGAAATACTTAAAACTCTAAACCCTCTTAGGACCCTGAAGCCCTGAGCCCCAAAAACCTTCAGTCAGAGACCCGCGCATCTGTCGGCGGCCCCGGGGGTTGCGCTTGAGAGCCAAACGACGCCGAAAGAGCGGGTGTCGTTCAGGGTGATTGGTAGGATTTTGTGTTTAGGGTTTGGGGTTTTGGCTTTGCGGTTTAGGGTTTAGTGATTAGGGTTTTGGGTTGAGGGTTTAGGAATTAGAGTTTTGGGCTTAGGAATTAAGGTTTAGGGTTTCGGAAGTAGGGTTTTGGGTTTAGGGTTTAGCACTTAGGGTGTTGGGTTTGGGGTTTAGGAATTAGGGTTTGGGGTTTGGGTTTTCCCACCCACCCAAGTGATCAAGGTTTGGACTCTCAGCGTTTAGGAACTTGTTCGACAGATTGTTCATTCTTGGGTGTCCCACACGGCTGCATGTTATCTGTGCTAACTTCGGTGACTGAGGTTCCGGGCTTACTTGGGCATGTATTCTAATTACAGCTTGAAGATCCAGGGTTCAGGGTTTGGGGCTTAAGGCTTAAAGTTTGGGGCATGTTGGGGTCTTTTTTGGGGTTTAGATTAAGGTCTGGGGTTCAGCATGCAGGGTGTAGAGGGCTTTTTTAATGTGCCTTTGGGAATTGTCAGCCTAAATAACCCTAAATCCCTAAACCCTAAACCCCTAAATCCCTAAACCCTAAGCCCTAAACCCTAACCCCTAACCCTAAAACTCTAAACCCTAAAAGGCTCCAACACTCCGAGGCATCGAAGCATTCGAGTCGTCTGGCGTCGATCCGCGAGTCCGGGGCTGCTACTCTTCCAGATTCGAGGGTTTAGGATTTATGGTTTTAGCCCTTTTTTTCAATGGGCTGTTTCGGGTTTCGAACGCATTAAGAGTTTTTGAGTTCAGGGTTTCGCGCCCTTAACTCGAAACCCGCAACCGTTGCAAATCCTTTCCATGGTGATCACACGGCACCGTGCCAGCACAAACCACTCCACTGCACGCAAAAACTTCTCAGCCACGGTCAATGCACAAAGCGATAGAGGTAGCCCGAAGTGAACCCTCGACGCGCTTGCCAGCAGGTTAATGACGAAGTGTATTTAGTCTCCTCGCATTCGCTACAGTTATTGAGCAGCATCGCTCAGCACCTTTGGACTGCAGGAACAGTATGCGCAGCAGACCTGCATGTACTCAATACTGACGGAAGGCCCAGCTGGCAGTCCGGATCACGGCCATGACTACGGCGAAAAAGTTCATTCCAAAAGCTAAACCCTAAACCCAAAAGCAACTGACAAACCATGCGTTTTGCCTTAGGATTCAGCAGGCCGCCCCGCTTGGGCTGAGGTCCAGGTCCAGGGTGCAAGACTTCTGCCTGCCCCCCTATCGATCATTATCTGCACTGCATAATGTAGGGGCCTAAATAATAACTAATACTATTTTGGGGGGTTCCTTATTATGGTTGTAGTATAATGGGCCCCAAAACCCTATTCTAAGTATTAAGGCTAATTATTAAGGCCCCTACATTACTCGTGCCGCCTAGGTGGACTGGACCCATACACACGTACATAGGCATATACATACACATACACATGCACATGCATACCAAATGACATATGCATGAATAACCAAACCACCGTACACGCATCCATATCCATGCGGATGGTCATACCCGTATGAACCGCAATAACTTGATCCACATCCATATCTTTATCCGTGCATATACAAGCACATATACATTCGCGCATCTAAATATACACGGGCATATGCATATACACATAAATACACCTATACGTTTGTGCGTGCATATGGGTACACATACACATACAGACATGCACGCAAACAAACAAACTAACGAACCAACCAACCAACCACAACCAACCAACCAGCATACATACATACATACATACATACATACATACATACATACATACATACATTAATACATACATTACATTACATTACATTACATTACATTACATTACATTACATTACATTACATTACATTACATTACATTA